TTTAGTTTGTGTGGCAGGACAGTGAGGACTGAGATGTCTGGAAAACGCTGCTCTTCAGTGTCACACCCAGCCTGCTGGAGGCTCTGATAAAGTTTGTCAAATGACAGAGACAAAAAAGTAATTATTTACCATCCAGCGAGAGGTAAGCCTTCCTGCTGGATTATGCTAATGGCATTAGGAAGGCGATTTTGCTATGGTTTATGTCTAAATTGTCCCCCAGGCACTCATGAGTTTGCAAGGAGACTGGATCAGAACAGGCACTACCGTCATCAGTGGATTCATGCCTTGCTGAGTTCAGAGTCCAAGGTGTGGTTAGAGGGTGGGGCCTGACCAAGGTCGTCACTGGGATGTGACCTGGAAGGGGGCATTCCAGTCCCCAGCTCCTCCCTTCTCTCCCTGCTTCCTGGCCCCTGATATGAGCAGCTTTCCTCCACTGTCTTCGCACTGCCTGCTTCTGCCGTGGACCCAAACGACTTGGGCTGAGCTCACTAGAAACCGTGAGCCAAGTAAACCTCCTTTCTGCTGGATAGTTAAGACCAAGATAAAAACAAGACTTATATAACAAAAAATGTAACTTTTGTATAAAAATAAAGCGATATTAATATGCTGAGCTGTAAAAGTTTCAAGTCAACAACTTCTGACATTGCCAGGCATGCGTATAACCCGCTACTGTTATTGACTACTGGATTATATTGGATTACTTTGCTGAATTCATGCACCTACAATATATGAATGGCAATGGAATACCCATCTCTGACAAAAGTAAACAAAAAAGGGAGATATAAACGAAGGACCATTTTGTAGTGAAAAAATATGTATATCTGTATATACAAAATAATTAGCATAGATATGCAGCTACTTTCTCTTAGTTCAATGAGAAGAAAGTTTTGAATAGTGTTTAGTTCATGATATCTTGTCTGCATCTTGTACTATGAATAACTACTACAAAGACAACAATATGCAATGTATTAATTATTGTAACTGTCCTCCTAACCTTTTTTTGAAACTGTCTCATTGCTACTTCTTTCTCAAATTAATCTTAAAAAAATAAATAAACCTCTCTGCCTATAAATTGTGGGGGCTGAGTATTTTGTCCTAGAGATGAGAGGGTGAATTTTACATCTGATCCGAGACTAATTCTGAATGAGAACCTTTCTACCTATACTTATGCGCCAAAGGATAAATTACGTGATTTTAGCAAAACTCATCCAATAAATACACAGGAAGTGTCACCCAGCATGCTAGGAGCTCCAAGTATTCTGCAATTAGTCAGACAAAGGGTTGGTGGAGACACAGCCACTGAACAGATAAGAAGGGCTGGGCCGGAGTTAAGGCTGCAAAGAAAGGGAAAAGAGGCAACAGGACTGACAGTGCAGGGGAAGCGGGCTTAGGGTGGTGGAGAACACCTTTAGAAGAGATAAGTGCCTTGAATTCTGAATAATAAGACTTGGACAGTTCGGCACAAATCCAGGGGATGGTGCCCCAGGCCTAGGGAGAGGCTGGTACAGAAATCATACAGAAGCATTTGGCATTTCATAGAGGAGCACCGAGGTTCAGGGATGCAAGGAGGCAGTGAATGGCCCAGGGTGGCTGGAGTGTGGCTGGCAGACAGCAAGGCTATTCTACAAGTTGCCTTCTCTGAGGAGTTACTCTCTGTCTGTTCTGGGGCTGCCACGGCACGCCCCTTGGTTCTGTGCCAAGTTTGATCATGGGAGCAGGGGGATCCATCACCTCAAATTTACTGACCCTGACTGTCTGCCTTTCCCACTTCCTTCAGAGCTTCATACTCCATACTCCATATTCAAGAGAACTAGACAGGGTCTGTTTCCCAGTTGGTTTCCCTTACTGCAATCTCATAAGCAAAGTGGTAAACGCTGAGCTACACTCCCTCTCTGCGCCTCTGGTGTCAGTGCTGGAAGTTACACGAACAGAAGCAATCAGTGAAACCTGCAGGGGCTGTCACATATCCCCACGGGCTTGGACCTCACCTTACGTCACAGCGGTTTCTTCTTTTCCCCTGCTTTCCAGTTGCTCCACAAGGAAGCATACCTTGTTTAGGTGGAATGACAGGTATGCCCTTTGTCTAAAACATGCTACTGAATTTGTAACTTGCACTCCTGTTCAGAATGAGTGACTGTCACACCCAGTTTCCTAAAGTCCCCTCCCACCAAGGCACCTCTCCCAAAGATCTGCAGTGATCTGCCCAAAGTGGGTGGCTGGGGAACGACCATCCAGCCCTGAAGCCCATGAGGAGGGCCCCGTCTTCCCAGTGAGGATCTAAGACATCCTGGCTCTTCTGGGCAAGGAGGAAATAGCAGGCAAATAGAATCTGTAGAGTGATGGGGTTGGCAGTGAGTGTGTGAGACTGAAGTTGTCTCCAGTCAGAGCTGTTCTACCTAAGAAAACAGTGGCCTTGGCCAGGGCCTGTTGACTTTCCCTTGTAGGACCCAGGTCACTTCTGTCTGCTGTTCTGTCCAGCACAGGTCTCTCTCAGTCTCTCAGTCTCTCTCTCAGTCTCTCTCTCTCTCTCTCTCTCTCTCTCTCTCTCTCTCTCTCTCTCTTCCTCCTCCTCCTCCTTCTCCCTCCTTCCCTCCATCCCTCCCCCTCTCTCTTTCTCCAAGAGCCCAATTTAAAGATCCCTTTGGAAAGTTCTCAAAGCCTTCACTACCCATTTGCCCTTCTCAGGTTCCAATCCTCGGGTTGAGAACATTATTTTCAAATTCCTCACCCCAAATTTATGCTTGTAAAAGATAACTACTGCAATAACAGTCCTTGAGAACAACTTGCTCACTTACACACACACACACACACACACACACACTTTTCTCTCTCTCTCTCTCTCTCTCTCTCTCTCTCTCTCTCTCTCTCTCTCTCAGGTTCCTAGACCTAAACACTAGGAAAGGGATCTTCCCTGACTAACAGAGCCCACAAATTCAGAGAAGAAAGCAGATGTTTATTATGTGTTTCTATGCAGTTATATTCACTTTCCATTTAATGAAATTCTTTTAGGATCATTAGTCATTTTGAAACCTAAGACTTGGACCACAGGAATCAAAGAATAATTAAGAATCTAGTTAAAGATATACAAGTCTCATGATTACTTTCTGTGTGGTATCACAGAAGCTTTTTCTCTCTTGGGAATAGGAAGCAAGGTGGCTTCCAACATCAGGGTCCCCTTGGGTGGGGCTACCTACGCTGTTAATTTTGGAAATATTAGAACAGCAGCCACTTTTGCCAGGAACATTCTTTGGAACATTCATGGGGACTGAGAAATGCTAAATATTAAATAAAACATTTCTGCATAAAGCATTTTATTATTTACAAAGGGCAAGCTCTCTGCTCCTTTGATAGATGATCATGTGTAAGATAGTCATATTTCAAGAGATTTTTGCAGATATTTTATGTGTCCTTAAAATCCATGCTTATTCTTGTAGAGATGCAAGAGTTTAGTTATTGACTGACACCCATATAAGTTCAAGCTAAAAGAATAAGGTAGTGGTCAATATCACTACACAGACAGAATAGCACTAAGAACTGTGTGTTAGGACTCTGGTTGTAGCTCGGTGCTACAGTGTATGCTTGGCATGAACGAAGTTCCAGCTTCAATCCCCAGCCCTAGAAAGACAAAGGTAGGAGGAAAGGAAGAGAAAGACGAGGAAGGGAGGGAGGGAGGGAGGGAGAGAGGGAGGGAGGAGCCAACGGAGGGAGGGAAGGAGGGAGGAAAGAAGGGAGGGACCAAGGGAGGAATAGAGGGATAGAGGGAGAAAAAAATTCTGCACAAGGTTTATAAAGGTGTTCTAACTAAAGGGTGTAATGTCATTAATTTCTGCATTAAATGGAAGATATTTTTCCCAATTAACTTTAATTAATC